AATCGTTTTCTACTATAATCAAAGGGGCAAATGTTTCAAGGTTTTTCTTAATGTTAATCCTGGAACATTGAAAGTTTCCTTTCATGCTGTTCATGCCTTCAGAATTTGGTTCAATAGAGTTGAAACATGAAAATTGTGAGATAATCTTCAAAGTCTCCAATAAGTTGTTTTATTTTATGAATAAATCCAAAAGGTCAAAAGGTCCTTTTAATGATGTGCCCTTCATCTCTTTACATAAAAGTAAATGAACAGTTACCAAATGCAATTGATTTTCTTTTAGAATTGTTTCTGATTAAGAAATTCTTATCTGTTTATCTGTGGCTGTTTACTAAGTACAAGGTTACAATTATGGGTGCTCAGAGGCTTGGCAACTTAGGACTAGAAAATTGCTCTACACTGAGCTTACTAACCATTATGCTACAATAGACACAAACTTTTTTCTGTTGAAATCAGAATAATTCAAATCAACTGAAAAATTTCCAAATTTTCACATAAAAGAAAAACAAATATACAAGGGAAAACTTCTTGAATTAATCTACTTTCCAAAATTTGACCAAACATCAGATTCTTTAAAAGACTTTTTGGTCAAGCTGAGAACTTTTCAGCATTCCTTGTATATACAAATAACTCACATAACAGGTTTCCAAGGTATCTTTGCACCATGAGGTCAACATTCAACATGCTCTATCTGGACTCTTATTTTCATCCACTTGTTGTGAAGAGGATTTTGTTGTGTACGAGCCAAAACTCTGAGATGATCAGACTAACAACTATTCTGCATGCGCAACATTTGTTTTCTATATAGTTACCAAATACAACAGTCACTTGAAGAAGGCTTGAGAGTATAATAGCCAAAATGTTGTGACTGTTACCAACCAATATTGAATGAGTGTATAAAAATGATATACCTTTCTTTTCGTGGCATAAATTTAGTGGATGACTAATAATCATCTAATTTGTATGGTAAAATGCTTGTTGCTTTATACGGTCTATGAACGTCCTCCTCTCTGATTTTGATACATGTCCTCATAAATTTTATTCAATTTTTAAAAATTCTGTTTAATTATGATTGCTTAATCCATTATTAATTACTTTTAACTAGTCATTTTATGAGGTTGCTGAAAATGATAAGATTGGAGTTTTGTAATTACTTAGTTTTTATAGCTAGTTCATTTTTGACTCTTGATTAGTAATTTGGTCAATTTTACTGATATCAACATAAATGAGCCTTCATAATGATGCACACTCAATTACTATTACAAAAAGGTTAACAAAATTGTTTTCATGTAATGGACAAATCCATAATAGAAAATAGAGGCATCTTCTCTCACATTTATATACCAAGAGTAGAATGCTTTTTCAAAAGTCTTTGGATGATTCATTGCAGGGAAAAAAAGAAGCTATTTCCATTTTGTTTAGGTAGGTTACTTTTTTAATCTTGACAAAAATCTATAAATATTTTTACCCACTTTGTCTTGAGTAAGATTTTGAAACTTTTTTTACTTTTTATATGTATGTTTGAAGTTGTACACTATTATTTACATGCAGACTACTGTCCTCATCTTTGTTGTTATCATAACGTTTCCACCATTGTGCCCTCTGGTGCTCATCGGGTGTAGGTCAATCTGGGTAATCTACAATGAATTCGAACTGGACCCTTTATTTAATCTATGGAGGGAGACTGTTCTCATTCTACTGCCCATATCTAGGGATATCTTGGCTAGTTCTTATTCTTAATACTGCTTAGTTATTGCTTGCCCTGTTGCCACTGTGCCCAAGGATTGAACTCACAATTAGTGTCACCAAATTTATGAACCAACACTTTAATCCATTAAGCTATTGTTCTGTTTTCTGTGAAGAACTTGTAGCAAACCTAACCTGCCAGCTGATGAGTGCTGCTGTTGAAGACTTGCTGCCATTTCTTTCTTTCTTTATTAGCAGCTACCATATTGTATTTATTTCTATGCTAGGCCTACTAAGGAGGTCCCTATAAGTAAATGCACTGATTTTTTTCAGACATCTAACTCTACAATATTCTTTCTTGTCCAGGATTTTCATTTCATTCTACAGGGGCTGATAGCTATCTTTTTTCCATGTCTTAATTTTAGGAGATAGCTTGCCAGATTAAAATACATTAGTTGGTAATAACTTTGGTTACAAAATTTTAATGTAGGATAAAAAAAATAAATAGTAATGACTAATTGTTTTGAAATGCTTTTATAGACTTATGCAGATTAAAATATATTTTTAAATTTTTATTCTAAATAAAGACTAATGTTTGTTTATAATTTTTATATAATTGTTACCATGAACCTATCATTTGTTTACAAGACTAATTCTCTAAGTACTTGTATAACTTTATTATATTAAATCTTTACTTTCATAATATTCTGATGTTTATTATATTCTAGGCTATATTTTGCACATACTTATACTAAAACCATTTATTCAACTCTCTTACTTGACTAATTTTAAAAGCTCTAGTAACTTTCATTGCACATGCCTCCTTTGTACCTTTTGATGGCCATTTTACTAGCTATTTTCAAAAGCAGATGTACTATTTCAAAGCTAATAAATTACCTGTTTTGAAACCGTTAATTCTAAATTTGTGATGCATTGTTGAATGTACTACAGAATCAATTAACTATTTAATCGTATCCCTCTTGAATTTTCATTCTAATATAGTATTTCAATTATTAATTGTATATGTATATATTTAGTTTACTGATGGGTTCCCCTTTTTAGATGTATTTTAGCTTATCTATTTTTAGAATTTCTAGAAATTGGTCCTTTTAAGTGAAATTAATAACAAACAGCCTAAATTGAGAAGTCATACTAAAGAAAAATTGTTCCTTCAACAGGAAATGAACCTACATCCCTTTTTTTCCATCAGGGAAACTGTTTTGCATTAAAGTGTGCCTCTACCACTTCAGCCATGGAACCAGCCTGACAGAGGGCAAGATTTGAATTACATATTAATGAAAGTACATTTTTCTTGCAACTTTTGTGAATCTTCAGTTTGGTACCCAAAACATAAACAGTAATTTTTTGATAGGATGTTTTCACCAACATTATTTTTCCTTTCTATAAACATTTTTTTAGTGAGTACTTCAGAACTTCTCAATCTCAGACAGTTATTAGTTTCACTGTTTAATAAAATAAAGCAAAAAAAAAAAAAAAAAAAACAGGGATAGCAACTCCAACATATGTACCCACAAAAAATATTTATAACATTAATAAAAGAATTGTGTGTGTATAATATATAGGGCATGTGGCTTAGTGATTAGAACATTCGCTTTCTGACCATGAGACCTGGGTTCAAATCTCACCATGGTTGATTTGTCAGGAAGGAGACTTCCTGATGTTATTGGTCTGGAGGGGGACAATCCCAGCATGCAGCACCTTTGGAAAGTGCCTGAAAACCATACCACGGATTGACCCAAGCCTTGTGAGTGAAATTGGATAGACGGAACTCTTGAGGGCTGTCAGTAGCTGTGCTAGCACAAAGCCACAAATCATCATAGCCAAAGACTTGAGCATGCTGGCCTTGTTCAAATTGTTGATCACACTAGATAACATGCTCTCTTCCAGAAACTGTAACTAAGGTCTGCTCAGCATAGTTGCAGTGTAAACCACAGGTGGGCTCTGTAGCTGTTGAGCAAACACAAATGTGCCTGAGCGAACGTCTTCAATAGGGATTGGGTAGCCGCCCTAGTAGACCAGTATCCTCAACTTATTTTCACAGCAATTCTATTAGATTATTATAGAAATTAAATTTAGAGAAATAAGTATCAGGACATATCTGTTCTGAGTAGACATGCTGAGATGGAAATATATAACAATTTACTATATGATTAAATTAAACAATGAAGGAATTTTATGGGAAGTGAATTATTGGAATTGTACCACAAAGATTCTGTTTTTTCTTTATTTGACAAATCACCAAGTTTGTCTATAAATAAAGGGTTCAGTTCGAAATTCCAACCACCTGAAGAAGGCCGGAGCCTACAACGGCCGAAACGTTGTGACAAATATGGCGACAAAGATGAGGACAATAGTCCGACTAATGTAAATACTGTAAATCACCAAGTTGTTTAAGTTTATAATCAGATGTGAATTTCACTTTAACATGTTTAGTTCTAATGTTGATACTTTGCTTTTTCAGTGCCAAATGGTAATGTTTCCTCTTTTTGAACTTATTTTCACTTTTTCTGCACACTGCTGTGATTAATACCTACTTTTTAACAATATTTATTCTCTGAAGAAACCCAACTCTTCTAAACACAGAAAAGAAAATAATGTTACTGAAGATGTTGATAAGTGTGTAATTTCAGAGTACACATTATACAAAAATCTTTCACTCCTATTGATTTTGGATTTGCAGCCACATGTTGAAATATTGGTTTCTGGATGATCACTACAGTTAAGCAACATCGAGCATGGTCAGTACCTAGATGGGTGATTGCTTGGGAATACCAAATGTAAGCATGAATGTGCACGTGATGGGCATATGGCCACATCACATCAAAAAACTGGTTCCTATATGATAACCAAAGTTAAGTTGACCCTGGTTAATACCTAGATGGGTGTCTGCTTGGAAATACCAGGTGCTGTAAGCTTTGATGTTCAAGTGATGTAAGGGATAACAGCTTGGAATTGTTAATCAGAGAGCTGAGTTCCAATTCCTGTTGTGTTCATTATAATCACTTTATGCACAAATACCTTTGGGAAAGGTATAAATCCACCTATTTCTCCAAGCTATGGATTAATTAGTAAGACTTCTATCACTATCCTATTATCTCAAATGAAATTCTTACAATCTAAAAATATTTTCTGGCTTTAAATAACCTACCTGCAAAGAGTTGATAAGCCATAGAAAATGAGTCAACCGAATCGTATTGATACCTATTTGTGATTTTTGTTTGTTTTTTTCTTTTCAAATCAGAATTTTATGTATTCTTTACATATTTAGATCTTTAAATCTTTTTTTTTTTTTTCAGAAAACAAAGGAAAATTAAAAGATGACCTCACAAAACGCAAGGCTAAAAGACCAACTCGAGAAGTATACCGGCCCGGTATATCTCGTCTCAGTCGACGTCCAGATGACAGAGGAGAGGAGAGGTTCAAGAAATCAACATCAGGCACTGATGGTCTTACTTCTGATGATGAGAGTTATCGTGACAGCAAAGAGAGCAGCATGGAAAAAGAGATGGAAGGCATCATGGGAAGCATGAGTTCTTTGTATATACGAGGATCCAATTCCTTACCCCGTCGAGGAAGCCAACCTCTTTACCCTGACCCCCGAAAAACTTCTACACTAACTTATAAAAAGCCAGAAATTCCAAGGTATATTCCCCGTGCAAAATTATTGGAACAAAGTTACAAAACTGAGGATAAAAGTCCTGATATTGAACACAAAGATTTGCTCTCGCCATCAGGATTCAATAGGAAAGTTGACATAAAGTCAGACTTGAAAAAAATGGTGGTCACAGTAGTAAATGACCAAGCTGGGATAGTCAGTGGTCAATCACGAAGGAACCACCCACAGACTTTGAACTTGCAGTTCACAGAAAAATCTGATCGTTACTATCGAAATGAAGATGGATTTCGATCGCCAAAACATCGAGGATCTATAGATTTTTCCCGTGATGATGAATGTGAAACTCCAACAAGTCCTGGCTCAAGGATATACCGATATAAATTTGAAGGGATTAGAAAAGGTACAGATATGTCTAGGGATGATGATTGTGATTCTGTATCCAGTCAGAATCAACGTCAATCTAAACGCCGTTCATACACAAAGTCAAAGCATTACACATCCCATTACCGACGACAAAGGACGGGCAGCATAAGTAGTGAGTTTAGTGCAGCAAGTGATGCCAGTGTGGATGACACAAATGGAGGCCATACATATGACTGGGATGAAGAAGTTGAGCGAGAGATGTCAAAATCAGTGCACGAAGAATTGAGAGAGGAGACGCAAAAGTTACAGCAGATGACTGAAAAGATGGAGAATATGGATTACCTGGAAACTGGAACCCATCCCAAACTGTCTGTTCCTTCAAGCTACCGAAGTAGAGCTGAAAGCTCTGGGAGCAATTACAGTGAACAACCACAAGGACGAAGTCGGAAACGTGACAGACGAAAAAGCTCAAAACCAAAAACAGAAAGCAGAGATTCAAGCCTTCAAAGCAATCCATCTAAAGATCAAATATCAAGTCATAGTGGGGATGGCCCACGTAGAGGTAAAGGCCGTGGACGTAGGCGTAGAAATAATAGAGAATCTGCACAAAACAGTGCCCTTGATGCAGATGATACATGGAAGCCTGGACTTAGGGTCACCTTTGGGAAAAGTGATCGACAGGTACAGATGAAACCAGGTATTAGTAGTAACCAAAGTAATAGAGCTATGAGTGGAAATGCAGAGAGTCCTAGTCAGGAGAAGTGCACAATGCCACGTGGTGGAGGGATTATCCACTTGCCACAAAATGTATCAACAACACCAGACAAAGACCACCACCAACACAGCCATCCAAACCAACAAAGTGATCCAGTTCCTCCACCTCTACCTCAGAAGAACTCTCAGCCTCGACCTCGGGATCAGGGTGGAGGCTCAAAGAAGATTCTCTTTGATCCCCGAAATCCTAATAAACCAATTGTCATAAAAAATTCAGCTCTGAAGTTCCATGACCCTTATGAGCAGTCTCATGCTGCATCTGAGGGTTATCCCAGGAATTTACCTCATTTTTACTCTGAATATGGATACAACTATCCTGATATGGTCCAATTTAGAGACTTGCCTAATAGCACCCATTCAGATTTGTATTATACCCGGTACCAACAACCTACTAAGGAGAGTGGAATAGTTTCAGATGAGAATTATGAACAAGATGGATATTACCACAAGTAAGTTAAAATTTATTTTTTCTCATATTATAAAATATTTTGTCAAGTCTTACAGCTGATTTTTTTGTTAACTGTTGTCAATCAGTGTATGTTTGAAATTGTTTGATTTCTTGTATTTCAATCATAAGTATCATTGTACTTTTATACTTTTCAAAATTATATAAATTAATGTCCTGTACCATTAATTGAATTTAGAATATTGGAATATTTTTTAAGAAATGTAATTTTAATAAATGCTCTATAGTGCATTTATTAAAATATGAACATTTATTATTTTATTAAAATATGAAAAATGAGAATTAAAACTGAAGTATAATAAACCATGGAATTGTCATTCATCCTGGCATTATATTTTTTATAAAACAGCCCAGTCTTTTATAAAACTGCTCTATCCAAGAAACATAACACAGAAGTAACATTTAGATAATAATAAGTACAAGCATCTTTTTTGAAATTTTAACACTTACATGCACACACAAAATTTTAATAGACATTTTGCCATGAGCTGCATCATACAGTGTGTCATGTACCAAATAGTTTATACCAAACATTTTTACATCTTGTCAACAGGGTTTAGAATATGCTAACTGCATCTTCTGTAGAGATGTAAGAAAACCTTTCAATTAAAAGCATGCAAACTCAAATACAAGCAATGAATAATTAATTACCTAACCTCAAACTAAGTAAATACTTATAAGTCTTGAACATAAATGTTCAATATTTACCTATTGACTTAAACGTAAACAGCCAATATTTACTCACCTAGTCACATATGTCAGATGCATACCCCACAAAGGGCTAAGAAACTGCCTAAAAAGGGTTCACCTACCATGTAAATGCTCAAATATAAACAACTAACATCTACCTATCTTCAAACCAGATAAAAGTTTATAAACCTAAATATAAAAAACAATTGATTTTGATATTAAATCTGCAAGGATTGATATGTTGTAAAATTCAACAACTCAGCACAAATATTTTTCAAGAATGTTGAGGGTGGCTTTTTTTTTTTTTTTTTTTTTTTATCATTTCACTCCAAGCAAGGCAATAAATCCATTAAAATGCCAGGGGGTTACTGAGTGTTAGAGAATGAGAAAACAAAAAAAGAGAACAAGAATTAAGAAGACAGAAGATAGCAGTTGACATTGCATTTAAATTTTTGCAGATCAAGCTTAACTGGGAAGCAATAAGCCAGAAGAGAGTGGAAAATGCAATAGAAGAAACTGTTAGCATAGAATTTACAGTTACATTTAGCCAATTTAACTGTAAAATGATGAGATTTTGCCACCAATCTAGTATTGTGCTTAAATTCATAAAGTCTAGGTACCATGGAGGAAAGTTCATCAGAACAACTGTCATGAAAGTATTTATAGAAAAGATACAGAGAAACTGTGTTATGGTGGAGGGAAAGTGACAGAAGCTGAGATGGCAGCTCAGGGCCAATAACATTGCAGATTCATCTTTGGATTTTATCAAGAATCTCTAAATATATAGCAGGTGTGCCAGACCAGCAATATTTGAGGCAAGGACAAATGGTAGACTTATGTAACTTATGTAAGATAAATTCTGATGAAATTCTTTTTTTTCTTTTTCCTTATTTAATTATTCTCTCAATTAAAACTTGTCATTCTCATATTATATATCATTAGGCCAAAAGTATAAATATTCAATAACTTGGGTCAGGCTTAACCTATTTTCACATAAGCTGCCTGAATAGAGATTTAATTCTTTCTGAGAAATTCTTTTGTAGCCTCTCCAGTTGTATCTATCTTCTGTTGTTTAACTTTTTTACCAAATTCATTCCCTTATTTGTATAAAAGCATAGTGGAAGGGGCAAGATCTGTATAAGTACTGAAATATTTTGCAGAAAAATGTGTAATGTATTAAATTAGAAGATTACCCATAAAATGATGGAATAAATATGTACAAAAGTATGCTGACAGGGTTCTCAGTCTGAATCACTTCTAAAAACCTGACCAAGTGACCAACCATCATTTTTTTAAGGTCTTTTGGTTCAGGCCAAGTACATTTCAGTACTAACCTCATCTCTTCATTAAAAATAATTAAATGTTCAACTTGTGCAGGTAACTGGAGACCCTACCAGGATTTATCATCAATGGGCATAATCTTAACACTATATGATATACAGACGACACTTGATAGCAATCACAGAAAGAAAACTACAGATACAGTAGTAAAGCGAGAAGAAAGGACTAACCATTAACTGCAAGAAGACTGTGTATGGTTATCTGCAAGAGAAAAATTCCAAGATGCAAAGTACAGATTGGACATATCAGCATCAAATAACTACAGAAGTTTAAATATTTGGGAAGTGTTTTAACAGAGGATGGAAAATGCAACACCAAAATCTGAACGTGAATTGGATTAGTAAAAGATGCCTTCCAGGAGTTAAACAGAACCAAAAATAAAGTACTGAATTTCTATATGATATCAATCTTCATGTACAGTAATGAATACTGGGCAATCTCCCTATAGATGAAGAAAAGATTGGAGGCAGCAGAAATGTGATTCTACTGAAGGATACTGAGAATTTGATAGATGGTGCAAGTAAGCAATGAAGTATTAAAGAAAATGGTAACAAAAAGAACACTTGTACTCAGAATGTGAAAGTAACAGATGAAATTTCTTGAACACATAATGAGGAAAACAGGCTTGGAAAACTTAACCTTCACAAGGCATCTTGAGAGAGATAAAGGAAGGCAGCAAGGCACCTATCTGTGTGGAGAGCAGAACGGGATGGGAGGCTTGGCAAAGGGAGAAACACTGCTAAGAGCTACAAGGGATAGGAAATTGTGGATAGCCTTGATTGCCCATGTCCCTTCAGGACATGGCACATAGAAAATACTTTTTAAATAAAGTTATTACCTCTTCCCTTTACTACATGTTTAACTTAATTGTTGAATAATAGGAGTATATGTATCTTGAATAACAAAAAACAAAACCTCAACTTTACAATGGGGTGGGAAGTAAGTCAACTTCTCATTGCATAAACACTTGAAAAGCTATTTACTATTCATTTTTTTTAATCATACTTACAAAGATGCCACATGGATAAATTTTGCTCTAGGCTGCTGATCATAATGTAATTTCAAATAGACAAAACTCTTTAATTCTATCTGACTTGATATTTTTTTCTATAGCTAAAAAAAAAATGAAGTGTTTGTATGTTTTAATATTTTTTACATAATAATCTTTGGCTATTGTCTTTTTCATGATTTTTTTTTTTGTTTAAATCTGTATCACTCCATACAAGGCAGTAAAGCCACTAAAGCACAATGGGTTACAGGGTGTTGGAGGAATTAGGAACAGAAACGTTAATAATGAGTGGAAAGAGAAAAAGTAATCAGGAGGACAGTAGATAGTGATTGCATTTAAATTTTTGCAGATTAAAGTTGGCTGGAAAGCATGAAGCTGGAAGGGAGTTCCACAAGAGAGGAGTGTGAGAAAAGAAAATATTAGCATAGAACTTATGGCTACGTCTAGCCAGCTTAACTGTCAATTGATGAGATCTCAACGCCAATCTGGTAATGTACTTAAATTCATGAAGTCTAGGTATCATAGCAAAGAGCAATATTTATTTCTGCTTATTTACAGAAAATGTGGCACAAGGCCAAAAATGAGGAAAAAAACAGTTTTCTTCTGACTTAAATTTAAACTTAGCTCGCCACAAATACTGACCCAAACATATAACAATATTCCTTACACCAAAACAACACATTCTTACTTACCTTTCTTACTACATCCACCATAATACCTCATTGTCTCTATGAAAATCCTAACTAGTACAATTATGTACAATTCATTGTCTTTGTGTGTGTGGGGGGGGGATAAAACAACAATTTAAAAACTAGCCCTAATGAGTATTTACAAAATGAATACAAATCTATTTAAAAGAACCAAAACAAAAATATGTTAGTAATACCATAGCAAAGAGCTCATCTGAACAATTACCATGAAAGTATTTATAGAAAAGACAGAGTGCAACCTTATGGTGATGGGAAAGTGACTGAAGTCGAGGCACCAGATCAGGACCAATAATATTGCTGATTCTTCTTTGATCCTATCAAGGAGCTCTAGGTAAATAGCAAGGGCACTGGATCATATGTGGCAGCAATATTCTAAGCATGGCTGTATGGTAGACTTATAGATATCTAAGATAGATTCTGGAGAGAAAAATTGTCTTGCACTACATAAAAAGTCTAATCTCTGAGAAAACTTTGTGTCCAGGTGATATTTCAGTACCTGTTGCTGAACAGTAATTGAATTCTTTTGTCACACATACCTTTATAAAGCCTCTTTTATCATTTAGTGTAGCAAAATTGTATATAATAGTATTAGATATATCTTGCAGCATTCATATCAGACTGTTATAGCTCACTCCTAGCAGTTATATTATGTCTCATTTAGGCTACTCGCTGTGATGTCATCAATTGTTTCTCCTTGACTGACTCCAACAGACTTTTTCTGACTCACTTTGAGTTCTTTATTTAAGGTGCTTGTCTAGTTCATTTGTATTACTGGGGTGTCTTTTGTTTCCTCCACATCTCCACCTCCCTTTCTGAGATTTTTTTACTAGTAAATATTTTATTTTATTTCTTAGTATTCATCCCCCTCCTCTTTCTGATGAGTTTGTCATGTAATGAACTTTGTATTTTTTTTTCATTTTGGGTCAACCTCTAGTTTTTCCGTACGTTTCCTTTTTTTCTGGTAAACGTACTTGTACATTCAACAAATTCTTGGGCTGTTGTTACATCAAAAATATACAGTCCTTGCATAGGTTCTTCCTTTTTTTGCGGGTCTTTCTTCAGTAAACCTTTTCTTTAACTGATTCCAATGCCTTTTGTGTTCCCATTTTTTCCAATTCATGATCTTATTATGGCGTCTTCCCACATTTCTTTTTCCATTTTTATATACTCTGAAAACATTTTTTGCCAATTTTGAAAAATTGTCATTTTTGTTATCCATTCTTTTTTTGACCTTGTAACTGCTTGTCAAACATTTAATTTTTCAAGTGAACATCAATTCTACCGGCAACATGCCTGATGGTGTATTGGGATTAGGCATTATCTGGTATATGCTTGAGAATTTTTGTAGTGCTTCTTCACTCACTTTTTCATTACTTGCTTTTCTTAAAACTCTCTTAAAAGTACCCACAAACCGTTCAGCTTATCTGTTTGACCTTGGGTGATATTGCAAGGTAGTTATATGTTCAATTGAGAACATTTTCCAAAATTCTTCAAATTCATAAGCAGTGAATTGTGTACTGTTATCAGAGACTATGGCATCCAGAATGCCATATCTTGCAAACAGTTCATGTAAAAAATTCACTGTAACTATGGAAGTTTTTTTGCTTTTACAAATTTCAGGCCACTTAGTAAAGCTATCCACTACCACAAGATGTAATCCATTTATTTGACCTGCAAAATCTATATGCAGTGTTGACCACAGAGTATCTGTCTTTGGTCAAGGTTGTAGTTTCATGGTAGGTGGTTTTGCTACCAGAGTACAAACTTTGCAGGCTTTTACTAATTTTTCAATATTTTGATACATTTCAGTCGAGTATACATAGCTTCTCATAAGAGATTTCATCCTTGAAATTCCTGGATGTTCACTATGAATTTCATTTAATATCCGCTTTTGTAATATACTAGGTATTATTACTCTTTGTGCAAACATTAGTACTCCGTCACATAGCAAGTTCAGGTCTGGATTATGTTCTATAAATTGTCTATCTTACTTTGTTTTAATCATTTTTTTTTATTTTTGAAATAAACATGTCTTATTCTGCTTTTACTTTTATTTCTTCCAGGGTAACTGGTAGTTTACATTGCATAATATATTTTTAATTTCTATTTCACTTTTTAATGTTACAATAACAGTGACCTCAAACAGTTCAGTATTTTTTGGTATCTCTTTTGATAAACCATGAGCATGTCCTAATTTTTTGGACAATTGGTATTCCATCCTGAAATTGTAATTTAATAAGATAGTACACCAGCATTGTAATCTATTTGCTGTATGCATAGGAATTACTTTTTTCAAAACCTAAATTGATAATAGAGGTGTATAGTCCGTCTGTAAACAAAAACTCCTCCTGTGTATAAATTTGTGAAATTTTTTAACTGCAAATATTTTTAATGCCTCTTTTTCGATCTGGCTGTAATTTTTTTTTTTCTGTCGGTAGTAGCAAACACGAAGCATGTGTAATGGCTTTTATATTACCATCATATTAATGTTGAATTACTGCTCCTATACCATAGTCATTAGCATCTGAAGCTTTCTTTCTTTCTTTTAGATCATAATGCACTGATAAGTTTGACATTAGTATTTTCTTGATTTCTTCAAATGCCTTCTGACACTTATCAATTCAATTCTACTTTATGCCATTTTTAAGCAAATTGTTCAATGGAGCTCCCAAGTTCTGCATATTAGGTATATAGATTTGATAATAGTATGATAGTTCTAGAAATTCTTGTAAGCTTTGTTGAAGGAGGTATATTCTTAATTGCACTTGCCCTTGACGGATCTGGTTGATGACCATTTTTGTCAACTATTTGTTTTAGATACTTGATTTTAGCCAAAAACAATTTACACTTTTCCTTACTGATTTTGAACCTGTATTTTTTCAAAACTCTTTTCACATGGCCAATATGTTGTTCCTTAGATGCACTTTTAATTAATATATCATCCAGATAAGCAACTTCAAAATCACAATCTGCAAGCATAGTATCCATAGCTTGTTGAAATGTAGCTGGAGCTACTTTTACCTAAAAGGAAGCCAGTTGAACTTATACAA